ATTTCAGTGGTTATTCAACGGTAATTTGACTTTCGATGCTCGATCTTAGTGGCAAGTTGAAGAAAACAACTCGAAGAGGCATTTCACTCTTGGATCGAGTTATGCTTACTCGACTAGAGTGGGGGGGGGAGGACTAGATGATATAGGATATTATACTGGACCCGGTTTAATGGATAAAGCGGATACATATTGAAGGATAAGCCCACTAAGACATCTAAGCCCAACGATAGGGGTCAGGCCCAACTTGGGCCCAAAAGGTACACTCCCCCTATAAAAGGGGGCCAAGGTACCTCATTCTCTCATTCTATATTCATTTTTACTACACACTTTCTCTCTCTTGATCTGAGCACTGACTTAAGCATCGGAGGCCCGACGCTGGGGCCACCCCCGGCGTTGGGTTCTGCAGGTACGGAGGCCGTTCGAGTTGAAGGAGCCCAGGTGAAATCTATTCACTTCAATATAAATGGTCATGACTAAAACCAATTTCTTTATGAAAAGGTCAATGTGCGATAAAGGCAGTCCCTAACTCTTGCTTATGGTCGGGCATACGACACCATAAGTTGGAACTGCTACCGCTGGAACTTAAATGGAACTCTAATATCATAAGGATTTACTTATGTCTGATAATTTATTTGGCGATTTGAAAAATGAGACGTTAGTTTGTCATTTTAATATCGATTATACTTGATTAGCAAAATTAATATTTACTAATATTTTTATTAATTTTATCACTAAATTCTTAAATCCATGAGAGATAATTACTTATTAATACAATTTATTATATATACATTTATGTTTTATTGTTTGAATATAATTCTTATTCTAAATAATTGTTAAATAGTAAATTTTATTTCATTCTATATGTGCAGTTAAATAATAAACTTAATAATACTTTAAAAAAACATTTTTTATTTATGCATACAATATGAGTGTCGAGTTAAAGCTTGTAAAACAAAGGTTAATTTAATATTATAAATACAAAATAAATAATATACAAAAAAAAAAAAATCATGTTTAT